GGCGGAGCCGCCAGGCGGAGCCTCCGCTGCGAGCGGGCGATCGCTGCTCCGCGCCGCGGCGGCTGTTTGCAGAAGGCCGCGAATCCTTGACCCGGGGGGCTCCGGTTATCTCGTTAAATGCTCCCGTAAACAGCGCGCGATAAATTCCGGGCTGAGATCTGTTGAGCTGTCATCTTATCTAATACTCTTGTTTGTCCCTTTTAACGGTAAACATCCTCTACTCAAGTTAAAATAACAAGCCTCGCAATGCTGACTTGCTGCTTTGATATTTATTTGCTCACTAAAGCTACTGTTGGTGATCTGTCATGTCCTTGTTGCTTTCCTTAACTTTGTGCCCCACAACTTTTTAATTTAATACTACCAACTTTATTAATAATGTTTTCAACAGTAATGTTTTCCTAGGAGTCCCTTTGACTTGAGTCAAGTTTCAAGTTTAAATCCCCATTCAGACAGACCCGTAATAAAATCGAGGATGCTTTATCAGATAAAAGTTTCTTTATGATCCCCAGGATAATCAAGCCTAGTGCAGAAGTGCTGAATAAGATAATTTTATATGAGCAACGATTTCAAAACATTCATACAGTCCAGAGGAGAATGGAGTAAGCAGCTGCATTTGGGGTATTTAATCAGGATCAGATTCAGTAGCAAAGTATGAGAGATAGTTGGCAAATCTGGGAAATGTAATGCTGCTTTACAGTAACGTGCAACTGAAGGTCTAGGCCGTGCCTTACAGCATGTTTTACTTCCTGGTCCCTCCTTGATTTTCCTCTTATTAGGGAATACTAAAAAGTTAAGACAACTCGTCATCAGAACCCCTTTTTCATAATGGGTGATTCATGAACATCTGGAAAACTGACAAATACTGTGTTTACCGTTCTAGTTATGGAACAAGCTGGCAAAAGGTTGCCGTGTCCAAGACAGACGAGACATCCCCAAGTTGTAGTCAGTTTTGTTTCCCCCATCCCACTGTCTGTTCCCACTGTGTTCCCCTTGGATGACCCCACCCGTGCAGTTCAGCACCAACTGCTGCTTCTTCTCTTACACTCCCAACTCTGTGGCTGCCTTTAACAGCCTCTGCCAGTCCACGAATTTCTGCAGAGCCTTGAGCAGCCACACAGGAGTAGCCTGGTATAACCACATGGAATAATATATGTGTCCACTTCCATATCTTTCTGCTTTTCACCTTATTCAACATCAGGAAGTTCTGTCACATCAAACGTGCAATCTCTAAGGTTTTGCTTAATTCAGCTTTGCAGCAGGGAGGCACTTGGTGAGAACTGCAGCACTGGGAATTCCAATTCACATCTACTGGGAAGCCAGCTCAAGGAACAAGCTGTGCAGTTTGTGCAGGGACATTACACCTCAGTGGAAGCTGCACCTGGATTGTACATGTGAATCTCTGGCCTGATCTGTTCCTTGCATTTATACTTATGATTTAATACTCACCCTTCCCCAGCTTCAGAGATGACATCCTGGCCTTTCATGCCAAGGAGAGACAAGCAAGGGAGGCAAGGGCCAGCACTACTACATCAGACCCTCATTTCATAATCAGTGCAGTCCCTCTGGCATTCTGCCTGCTTGACATAAAACTGCAGAATGAGAAGATGGGAGTCTATGGTACTGCTGCCACACGGCGCTCAGTCTTGTGTTCTCACTCAAGGATGCGACTCACCCCCTCTTCAGCAGATCTTTTGACACAGGATCATTTGTTCAACTTCCAAAGGACAGTAGAATAAGCTAGTGTGGCGCCAGGACACAGATCGGATCCCAGTAGGACAAAGCTCCTTGATTTAAATGCTGGGAATGCTTGTCACCAAAACTTCTAGTATGTAGCAAGAGAGCTTAAACAAGTCAACGGATGAGCATTTTCTGAGTAGTGGTGTCTTATAATTCCTTTGGCTTATCACATCAATTCTGTATAAACTAAAGAGAATGTATAAATTTGGCCTCTCAAACTTTTTAGTGTTTAACTTCAATTCGATTAAACACTTATGTATGTGTACAAAGTGAAAAATGAGGTTACAAGAGGTTAATGCTTTAATGCTTTTAATAACTCTTAACCACATGGCTGTATTTTGTCAAACAGAACATGGATTTGTTCTAGCAGGAAAAGTATAGGCTAGATAGAAGCATACTGAGGCACTCCAAAAGAGCAAAACTGCTACAGAACCAAAACCATTTCTAGGCCATCTTTGACAAATCATAAATAGTATTTCTGTGATGAAATAAATACATAGCATTTCTGAGTACAGCTGAGGAGGTTCTTGCTCACAGTAGGAAAATCAAAGAGCAGAGAAATCTAGACAGACTAAAAACACAGAAAAAATAATCAGAGATTGGTAACACAGCACAGAACCCTGAGCACAACATAGCGTCTGTAAACCTGGGATGTGATCAGGCATCGGTACTGAGGATGTCAAATCACTGGGCACCAGGTGATGCCCCTAACTCAACAGAAACTGGCAGTGGAGTAGGTGATGGATATTAATGCAGAGGCACTGACCCGTAGGAAACGGCAACATGTGTGACAGACTGAGTGGCATCTAAGTGCTGGAAATAGATAAAGTAGATAAAAGAGCAAATTTCTAGGGTAATTCTTGGGTTTTGGGTAAAACCATGCTAATCCTAAGTGCGGTCAGCATGGTTTGAAAAATTTTGGCTGAGTCTCTGAGAGCACAAGTCTCACATACTAACGCAGCAGACGCGCTTTTCAAAATCTGAATGTGACATTTCTCATTTCCACTGCACGTCCTTCCTTGAAAAACGTGGTGTCTAACAGCCAAATATTTCAGCAGCTACAGCCTGTTTAAAAAGCAAAACGGACCCCTCTCTCACGACACACCCCAGCACCTTTTCACTGCTTACTTGTAAAATTGAGTCATGGTGTTAACACAAGCATCAGCTACTGTCAGAGTTTCACTGGTATTGCCCTCAACAAAATGTGCAGCACAGAGACTCACAGACCAGGAGGCCAAGTAAATCCTCTTCTTGCACGCCCCAGCCTATACTTCAAGGTGAATTACTGTTGCACAAAACTGAGTTGTTATGTGACAAAGAAACCAAGAAACTCAGCCTTATTGTTCATCTTAATTATCCTGCTTTGATAAATCTTGAAGAGTCAATCACTGCACCACAGCACTCACATTTATGAGCCTAATATTCTTTTTAGTATTAAACCAAATGTCCTTAAGATGGAATCCAGGCTGAAAAAAGGGAAAACATTATCACTGATGAATGGGTATATCCAGCTATTTCAGTCTCTCAGCAGGAAGGCTCCACTGCTCATAAAATGCTGACCAAGGGATTCCTCAATAATTATTTTATAATGCTTAAAACAGAGTGTCGAGATATTCTGCTTTATGGAAATCATGCCCAGGACTTGGCTTCTCTCTGGTGTACCTACAGAGAAGTAGAGTTATTTAAGAATCTCAGTGCTTAAAGTTAAAAGTATTCTCTATGAACGATCAGTTCTGAGATCATTGCAGGAGATTTTAATCAAGCTCCAGTTGATATCTGTGCTTTCTTCCACATTGTGCTTTGCTGAATACTGCTGCACTGGAGCATTTTATTGACAAATCTTGGTCTTCCTGCCAAGGGGAAACACATAGGTTTGGCACAGAGTATGGAAAGGTGGAGCTGTAAAGGACACCCCTACACTTTGTCAGTGTTGAATGGATGGGCTCATCGGCACTTACTCTGCCTTGAGGCAGCGAGACTACCCTGCGTACCAAGCTTAAGAGAATGCACAGAAGAAACAGGAACATTTTGTAGGCTGCCTTGAGATTTTCAAGTAAGTTTTAAAGCAGTTTGGCTCTTGTATTAAAATTCAACATGTGTTGAAGCTCTTCCAGATCTGTGAAAAGCCTGTAAGCAAATGGACAGTGGAACTAGCCAAGTTTCACCTGTGAGGTCTTGTGCCGTTTCTCACCCAGGGTTTAGGCTCATCCACGCCATGCAGAAAATTCTAACAGTACCAGAACCACTGCATCTTTTGAAGATTAATAAATAATCGAAAGCTTGAGATTTTTTTTCATGAGTTCCTTAACAAATTTTAAATCCAAGTAGCTCTCCGAACACAAAACATTGGGCATGTATTTGTCTGCCCATGTATTTTATGCCTCTAAAACACTGCATTTCCCTAAAACAAAAATAGGTAAAGATTAAGTTAGATCATTTTAATACATAAACTGTGTTGTTAATACTCAACTTTCTTTAATATTGTTCAGAACAGTTTACGAACAGGAAAGACTTAATCCTATAATGAAATAATCTGTATTTCAATACAACCTTTAACTCACATATAACAATGATTACTGTAATTAGCAATTAGTTTTCCAAAGGTTCCTAATTGTTTAGTATTTGACTCTTGCTTTCATCGTTTAATGATTTACAGTAATGAGCTGGAACATCAGTATTTTGTACTGAAATGGCCAAAATAGTTGTCCAGGCATCATTGCCCTCATGTGACAGATCTCAGATGTTTTTGTGAAAAGCAAGCCAAAAGCAATAGACAATGCCATCACTTCTGTTTCATTTTTACTGAAAAACAACAACAGTGACCATAATGACTTGTAGTCAGAGTCTCAGTAGCTTTTGAAGGACTGTTACTTTGCTGAGATTCTGCCCTTTGTTTAAGTTTTGTTTGACAAATGCTTTATAAATGAGCAGAAGAGGTGGTTTATGTTTCATTAATGAGGCTGATAGTGGTTAATTACTGAAGTTACGTAAACAATCCAATACCAGATCAAGCCAAACGGGTCAGTTATGTAGAGAAGATCCAGCTGGAGTAGATATGATTTCCTTTAACTATTTGGATACCGAACAAACTACAGAGATCTAGAAGCTCTAGTTCAGACGAACAAAGAATTCTGCTTAGCTTGCAAATTAATTCT